CGACAGGGACTAGTGGCACAGTTAGCAGGGCGTTATGCTACCTAGGGGAAGAGGTAGCGGCTTTCCGAGCGGAGGACGCGAGCGACCCGTTGACCCTATTTCACGGACGCCCTCCTCTTGATGTCACGGGCGAGCTCGTAATAGCACGGGACGGGTTTTTTCCGTACAGCGTTAGGAGCCTGCGGGCGATAGTTCCGACGTTCGTAGTAGAGAGTGTCTTTGGAGGTATTGGTGGAGTGGTCGAGACATATCTGGCTTATCAGGATCTCAAGATCCTGGCGAGAAGACCTGCCGACCTGGACCATATCTATTATTCGCTAGCGACTGGTGGGCCTCGTTGGGGAGACGAGAGGGTTCAGCTTATAGAGCTGATCCGCTCGATAGACGACGAGTGGCCCCAGTCTTCGTGCGTTTGGGATTGGCTAGACCGTGAGCTCCGAGCAGGCCCCGAGTACGTGACTTGCATCGGGCGGCTCTTTTCAGACGACTGGGGGAGCTGGTGGAGTGAGGACGCCGGGCGACCTCTGATATACGGGCATCAGCTGACGGAATACTACCAGGCCATAGGACAGGCGCCATACCGCGTCGAGGACGAGTTTGACGACGAGGGTTGGGAGCGAGAAGACGACGAAGAGCTGTGGGAGCCAGACTGGGTCGACCCAGAGAGTGAGGTTGACGAGGAGGAGATTGACGTTATAGACGCCCATTTTCCCAGGATAGGAGTAGCGGTCCGGGCGTAGGAGGTAGAGGAGCGCGCCAGAGCGACGGATGAGTGAGCCTGGTTACTGAACCTATTCGACCATAGTGGACCTGAGTGCGAGAGTTGTCAGAAGGGTTAGCAACGTCGAGAGATGGGGAGAATTGGAGGGAGTAGAGTAATGCTGACCGAGAGTAGGAGAAGARATGAGGAGTGATTCAGCGGCCTGGTTAGCTTATGTATTCTCACGAGAGTCCGAATCGTATAGTGTGAGGAAGCTTGTAGGACCCAGAGAGACGGCGGTTGGATACGACATACCATTTCCTGTGGCGTTAGAAGACGCAGGGCGAGTACCGATACGATACTTGGGAACGAGGCTCGCAGAGGGGCTTTTCCTATGGACAGTGATACTACGAGACGAACGACCCGAAATGACTCATGATCTAGAAGGGGTCGGACATCTAATAGCTGATAGAACACACGATTTAGAGATAGGGCTAACGCTCGCAGGGGCGAGCAGGAGTTGGTGGAGAAGTGAGTTGTTGGGCAGAGTGATCGTTAATCAGCAATTGGCGAGACTCGCTGGAGGGAGGACGAGTAGGAGTTGCTTGGTATACGGTCCACCACATCCGACCCTCTACCCGAGAAAGGATTGGCGATTCGGAGTTCCTACCTTCGTTATAACGCAGACCTATGGCAGCGTGGATCGTTTGAGGAGAGCAGTGAATCACACACTTTACGTGCTCTGGGAGAACTTAGCGCCCCGCTTCAAGGAAGTATACTACGCCATTTGTGTGAGGTGGGGGCCGCCCAGTAGAGAGACGCTTGACGATATCATAGATGTTACAAGCTGGGTGGATTGTCTGAGGCCTATCGATCTGATTAGGTACTGCAGGAAACAAGCAGAGATCGATTACGGGGGGCTAAAAAACGCGAGATTTCTCTTCGAGGTCGCAGCTTAGGGAATGTCGGGGAGGACGGCCACGGTAATGCGTGTAGAAGAGCAACTCGTAAGCATAGGATACATTGTGACAGTACTTCTCCGAGCGTACGTAGATGAGGACTTGACGACGAGTGAGTGCAGACAACGAGCTAGGGATTTGATCCACGAACGTAGAGCTGATGTACTGGCACGAGTGACCTTCCAAACCTCGATATCCTATGATGTGATGATATGGTCTCATGGTTATATGCGCGCGGAGCACTACCACGATGAGACGGTAGTGGAGGCTAGAGCGAGGGTGAGAAAGTGAGCTGGAGAAAGATGTGGACTGAGTATGGAAGAGGAGAGTGAGGCAGTCGGAAGAGTGAGAAAGCGCGTTAAAGAACCACTCTTGAACCAGGTAAAGAAGTTAGGGGACAAGTTAAGGGAGATCTGGTCGTGTGAAGACGAGGGCCAGTTGCGTAGGGCTGAACTCGTGACGAGAGAGTTAGGGAGACTGTTTAGGGAAGAAAGAGAGATTATCCAGGCATGGAGATCAGACTTTCTGGAGAGGATAAAG